GCGAGTTTCTCGAGACACGCTAAAATGACGCTGACGACGAACATGCCATACGTGACGATTCCCTTCTCTTTGCCACCAGCTAGCAGCAACAGTAAAATAATACACGAGCCAGCGACAGTTAGCCTCTGCCAGATGATGCTTTGACGGACGACATGTAGTCTATTTTTCCGGTCAACCTGGCTGCCGATCCATGCGCCCAGGATAGTCGCAGCCGCAGACCGAAATAAAGCGTAGCAGGATGCGAAGAACAATGTGCCAGGGAAAATTGCGGCTAGAAATATCACCGCGCCAAACTCAAATGTTCGTGCATTCCACGTCGAAAGTGTATGCGACAGATATAGCCTCCAAAGTAGTGGCCGCGCCGATCTCGCTGGTGGTGAGGGGCAGTCGCGTTCCGGTGAGACGCTCTTCGACGAGCGGGGTTTGGTGCTCATCATGGCGGAGGGTGAGTAATGGACGATGAATAAGACGCTGCACCGGCGGGGGAGAGGTTCATATTCAAGTAATAAACGCCGTGATGGTCATGAGACTGGGTTGGGTGACATCTGGGCCCGAAAATGTCGCCTCATCAATAGCTTTCATCCATGTAGGACCCTGCAGATGGGGTGCGCTAGCTCCATCCGGTGAAAGTAGCGAAGCGTTCACTCTACATTAGACGTCGGTCCGAGTTCTCGTCAGAATTGCCATTGTTTCTCCCAACCTTCTTAGACGCAAATTAGCCTAACTCGGCTGTAATCCGATGTGATTTTACTGTCACAAAGCGGGGTACTCAACCGCTAATTAGAAAAGAAGTCATGCTCTTATTGTGCCATGTATACTGCCTACCCAAGGGCGTTCATATACTCGAATTGTATGCCGTGGAAAAAATCTGTATCCATCTACAGTGCCATCCAACCTCACCCTCTCCAGGCAGAGATCCAGCCTATCTCCCAGTCAAGTTCTTGTAGCGCAAGAGATACAGCACTCTAGCAGTACCAAAGGCACAGCGAGCTGCAGTCCTTGCCGTTGACAATGGACTTGCAAGCCTTCTCCTTGCAGATAGGCTTGCAATACTCATAATGACAGGGCTGACACAATTGTCAGTAAACATACACAAATCCGCTGTAGTATTTCAAAGACATACCACGCGGCAGTCCTTGTAGATCTGCGAGCACTGCTGACATGGAGTTGACATGGCATTGAAATCCTGGTTTCTGGTTAGTAGGTTCAAGAATAGATCGGTGGTTTCACTTACATTGTCAGACATGTCGTCAAGGGCGTCGAAGGGTGTGTCACGAGGGACGGCGCCGCTGAGGACCATGGAGATGAGGCCCATGAGGGCGATAATAGTCTTCATGTTCATGAGCGCGGAGAGTTTGGTGGTCGTTTGTGAGTGGAGTTGAAGCAGGGTCAAGGTAGGCGTTGATTAGTTGTGCAGCGTTATCGACGGTTGGTAGAAGGGGCCGTATATATACCAACAGGGAGAGGCAGTGAGGGGCCAGGGCCCAAAGCGTGGTGATGAGAGAGCGGCCGCCTGGTCACCGCGACCCAGTCAACTGGTACTGACGTACGAGGGTAAAGGTGACTGTGAATGGACTGAATTAACCTATTTGGGAAATTTGCTCAGTGGAAAAGAGCGGAGTAGAAAGAAATAAACGTGACTTAGACAACGAGCGACAGAAGACACTGCGCAGAGTACAGCATTGTTACCGAGAAGCCAGGTGAAGATGCTATTGTATCCATTACTTGCGCTCCGTACAAAAATGCTATAATACCCTAGACTAGGGCTTCTGCAGAGGCCACCAAAGGGCTGTACCAGTTATGAGCCAACCTTCTACACGTGAACAAACTTGGTTGCTGTTTACATTGTCGTGCTATCGCGTCACGTCTACACAGCAAGATACAATGAAAGGGCAGATTATACCAGGACCGTGAATTGGTATGAATTTAGAGATACATCCTCATCTATAGTATAGAAAGCTACTGATCTAAGCTTTACCAACGCCAAACCATGCCATGCTATGCAACAACAAATAAAACAACAACTCATCCACGGCTACCGTCCTGGGCTTGCGCGCGGAATAGGCGTGGAGTCCCTGACACCCAACGTCCTCATGCGTTCTGCAGACTTACCAATATCAACTTGCTCTTCCTCAGTCGGCGTAGTCTCCTCGACTTCATCCTCTTCATATTCCCCGTCTGTCTCCTGTTCGTCGACGTACTCATCTTCTTCAACATAATCGCCTCCTTCGACACTCTCCATGATAGAATCACCCATACCAGCCTCGTCCAGCGATTCCCGCGACATGTAGCTCCCTTCAAGATCTTCGCCAAGTTCCGATCCTTCGTCTTCGCTGCGGATACTAGCCGCTTCGGTATGATCATCTTCGTCTTCGTCCTCATCTTCGCTGTCGGTGAAATCCTCGATATCAAGGACTGGTTCGCGCCAGTAGTTGAAGTCTGTATATGCTTCACCTCCTGCGGGGACTAGAAGCCCGACGGGTGGGAAGAAGTGGTCTACAATCTCTCGCATACTAGCATACCCAGTCTTGTAAGTATTAAGCGACAGGACGTCAAGACTGACTTCGGCATTTGAGTTGATGGTAAAGATGCGAGTTGAGGGAATGTTGACAGAGCGATAGGAGAGCGCGTCGGTGAAACGATTTCCGAAGCCGGCGTAAAAGGGTGTTTGATGTGGCGGCTTGTTGAAGAGCTGCATAATGTCACGCAAACATGCCATCTTGAAGACCTCTGGCTTTCTAAGGTAAATCTCTCGCCTCAAGGCGGCAATTGTGCGATCTGGACTCATAATGACCGGGCCTTTTGGTAGGCGATAGTTGTCCTGTACGACGCCATTTAGGTAGGCTCGTGTTGTGTCAGCCTGGCCGACGGAGCGACTAGTCAGGTAGAAGATGTTGTAGCCATTGTTGACAATGTCAGTGTACAGCTTCGCGACTCCCTGATGTGTCCAGTCTCTTCCAATTCTATGCAGAACATGGCCTAGGGCGTCCGACTTGGTGATAGTACCATCAATATCGGAGATGACAATGGGTACATCGTGCTTCCAATAGAACATGTAGGCTTCACACTTGGACTTGTTCACAGTAAAGCTCATCGTGTTCGCACCAGGCTTCAGGTTGAGAGCTCGAAGCTGGTCGCTTGTTAGACGCAGTGTCTTGGCATATGTCTTGGTTTCGCTCTTGCGTGCTTCGGGGGATTGCGGTGCAGACAAGCCCAGGGCACTATCCGAGTCTCGTCGCATCTGGTACTGAACAGTGTCATCACTACGACCGCTGTCGCTCTGGTAGCCGGGGTCCGACAGGGCATCAGTGGACCGAAGGGCTGCTTCGTTGAGAACGTTCATCGAAGTCTTGGCCATGGCTGCCGCTTTCGCCTCTTCACTGCTGTATATCCACAAGTTTCCGTTCTCATCGGTTCCGATCAGTGCGCCAATGTCGTAGTCACCAGCAAGCTCATCCGAGAGAATGCGCCTGGCGATGACCTCGGCGCGCAAAGCATCCTCCTCGCTGCTTTTGTATCCAGTCATGTCTAGTTCCAAGTCGCCCGTCTCGGTGACCTTGTTAGGGATGTTCGAGGTGAAGAGCTTCTTGGATAGTTTGATGGCGCGAGCGAGGGCTTCGCTGGGTGAGACGGGCGGCGGGCTTGTGGAGCGAGTTGATCTGTTCCAGGCAGTTGCATCTTCCCTACTGATCTGTAGCGGACCGTGTGTCTGAGATGGCTCAAAAGTCTTGGCAAAACCATCCTTTACAGAAGGAACAGTCTCGTCAGTACTTGCCCTCTGCATATGGAAGCCCGACCAGTCGCCTGATGTCGGGTGCCCATATTCATCATCCTCAAGCATGCAGTCCGAGAGGGGCACCGACATGGACATGCGCCCCCTTCTCCTGACACTGTTACCGTCGAGGTCGAGAGGTTCGGGCTCGTCGTCGAAGGCGCGCTCTGAGGGCAGCTCTACGGGCTTCTGCTCGGGACTGGCAGCGGGCGAGGCGATGGGCGACGTCTGCATCTCGGCGGGAATGGAGCGCGTTGTCTCAAAGACGAAAAAGGCCTCGCCCCCCTCGCCCAACTTCATGGAATAGTCTTGCAGCTCGCCATTGACGCGGAACTCGACTTTCTTGTCCGACGGGCGCAGAATCTGGTACTTGCCGAAGCGAACGTGGAAGGGTGAGCATGCCAGGGTGCCATCTTCTTGCTCGACGACAATGGTGTCGATGGCGCCGCTCAGGGTCGCGGGGTTGATGGAATTCCAGCCCTTGGAGACACTGCCGGTGATGGAACGCACGTAATTCATGGCTCGCAGTTGTGGGCGCGGCGGCCCTCGTGCGCTGGGTAGGTGGCTAGATGTGCGAAGTTTGTGTAGAGCGAAGGAGAGAAAAGGTCGAGTAGTTTCTATAGAACAAAAGGTTATTTGTTTCAGGCGAGGGAATCTGCAGCTTGCTCTTCACATGCCAGTGGGGCTTTTGTGAATCGGCCGAGGGCAAGAACGAGCAGCGAAAAGGTTAGGGGGTGGAAGGAGCGACGGAGCTGAGGTCAGTTTGGGTGCCTAGGTATGCGATGAGCAAGTGGTGAGAGCTATGTCACCGAGCGCGCGCGCATCACGGACGTCAGTCGGCGGTCATGGGGTCTGCTGAGCCGGTTGCTGCGGCAGGAATTTTGCAAACTTGAGCTTGGCCATGGCGAGGATGAATAATTGCATATGAGCCCTCTGGCGAGTGGGGAGAAATATCTTTCACATGCTCCAACGACGCGAGCAGATTGGAAGGCCGGAGCGTCAGCGCACATGGAGGGGCTGTTGAGTAGATAGTGTTGGGACGCGCTCTGGCTCCACCAAGCTTCTGGCTTCTGGCGAGGCTCCGTGGCTGCGTGACATGTCCAGTGACATGAATCCCATAGCCCGCGACACCTCATCTGGACTTTTCCATCAAAAGCCACAGGGCCCCCGCTAGTGTCTATGGAGCGAAGAGTGAATGCGGGATGCGGAGCAGCTGCATACCCACGCCCATGTGGAGCCCAGGAAATGCCCTGTCGGTCTCGGCTGAGTACGGCCATACAGCGGCGCTGCACATGGCGCCCGCCTTCACGATGCAAACTTGAACTAAACCCCCCCGACTAAGAAATAAGCAAGAGAGGAAAAACGAGAGGCACTCCACCCATGCTGGCGACGCCTACTCCCGTCCGCCATCATGTTCTCCGAACCTGCCTCTTCGCTCTACTGGCCCCCGGACGTGGCCCGCTATGACATGGAAGCACTATTGTTTTCATCGTCAGGCTGGTTGCGCACTGCCTGCATCGTGTGCGCCCTGTTCTGGTATGGACAAGAACATGCAAAAACTAACCTCTACGCGCGTGCTAATCGTCCACGCAGGGTCGCCTTCCGCGCCTACCAAGTCCTGACCCAACCCGTGGAGAAACTGGTGCAGGTGCTTGGCCTCGAAGTCCCCGTTGCGCCGCTGGTGTCGCTCGCCGGAATAAAGGCAGACGGCGTGCTGCTGCACTGGAAGCCGCCAGATCAGCGCACTTCTGTCCTGAAGTACGTGATCCGTATCAACGGCATAGACAGTATGTGTGTGATTACCCATGGCACGCGACCACAACCTGACACGCCACAGTTGGCGACATCTCCCCGCAAGAAAGCTCCATTACTATCGAGAACCTGCAACCCGACCGTCATTACACCATTCGCATCGTTACCCTGAACTCTTCAAGCTTCCAAGCCCCCAGCGTGCCCATACGTCTCCGCACCCTTCCCGCTGAGTCAGATGAGTTCTATGGACCACACCCACAGAAAGATGGCCAGGCCACGAGTGACGACAATGACTACACGCCTACCCCCGTTATCCGGCCAAACAAGACACTCGCTGATGTCGTCACCTCGGTTGCCGCGCCGCCCATGACCCGCGAACACAGCAATAGCACATCCCGCATGAGGCGCCCGGACATTGGGAGGAAGAGCTCGCCCGCTTCGCAGCCGCAGGACCAGGGGAGGATACCGCAAGAGGCTGAAGGCCCAGACTCGATCAGGCAATTGACGGAAAAGCTGGATGCGCTCCGACGCGAGCTGGACGACGTGGAACGGCAGATTCAGGATGAAGACCAGGAATTCATCACTCAAAAGGCCATTCTGGTTGACAAGCGTGACGAGAAGAAGGCAGCACTGAAAGAGAAGGAGGATGCCAGCCGAGATTTGCGCAAAGAGGTGGCCAGTCTTGAACGTCAGAATGCCGCGGCTCAAACTAGGCGCGCTCACCAGGAACGTCTCTTCCGCCAAAAGGAAGCCGAGCGGAAGAAGTTGAAAGACGATGTCGCCAAATGGACCCGAGAGGCTGGCGAACTCCGCAACACTGCCGAGAAGATCAAACAGGAGCAGGCCGAGTACCAATCAGCCTCGGAAAAGCGTATCCAGGAGTTGAAAGACAAGTATGCCGATGAAACGCAGGCGAACAAAGTCCTGGAGGATGCTATTCGTGAAATGGGTATCCACATCAAGGTGCTCGAGGAAGAGAGGCAGAAGCTGGAAGAAGGTCAAGAGGGGGCGGAGGCGGCAGACGGTCCTGACAGCGCAGAAAAAGAGGAAGACAACCGATGGAAGATGACGCTCGGCCTGCTGCAGCAACAGTATGCGCAGGCCTGGTCACTATATGCCGAAGCTGAGCGTGCTCATCAAGACGCCACAAACAGGTTGACGTATATGCAACAGCGTCGTCTGAGCCAACCTCAACTCTTCTCAGGACCCATCGCCCCGGACATGGGGCCGCCAGTGAGGAGGAACAGCCAGCGCGCGCGGCCTCTCAGCATGCGCGAGGGAGTTCTGTCTGCAGCTACTGCTGGCTTTGTGCACACTTCGTCGGCTCCGTTCAACAGCATCCCCACAACCGCATCACCATCGTTTGGTCAGGCTACACCGTACTTCAATCCAGTCAACGGCATGGCACTGCCTCCACGTACTTACAACACCTCCTTCTCGCAGGCTGACTTTGAGAGCTTGACTGGTGGTGCCCCTATGAGTCCGACGGCCGGCTCGCTGCTTCCAGCAGGCCTGTTTGCGGATGATCTGGGCTTGACTGAGGATGAAGAGGACGACCCAGGCCCGCCCCAGGATCCCTCACTCAACCCGTCGCCAAATATGAGAAATGTCTTGCCAGGTCTCGGTGCTCCCGGCACTATGCATCCCCCGCAGAACTCGAGCTCACCAACTTCACCGCAAAGTCAATCGCCCAGTGCTTTCGCCAGCCCTAGGGAAAGTGCTGCAGAGTTGCAGTTCTATCCGACCAACGAAAACAATGTTGACAGCGATAAGCGCTCAATACGATCCACGTCAAGCTCGTTCCAAATTAACCCCCAAGCCAGTCGCTTTGGTGGGCTCTTTGGATTGAATCGGGCACGTGGCAAGACATTTTCGGATGAAGGACCTGCCTTAGGCTCCCTAAAACCGTCTCAAAGTCAATCGCTGCCTCGCGAGGAGCACGGCCTCGATGGTATCGGAAGTTCACGCCGCCGCGGTAGTCATTCCGAGGGTGCATGGTACGACGCCTTTATGCGCACCAAGACTCAGCCTATGGAATCGACCAACAGTCCGAAGCACGTGGCTACGCGTAAGCGACCTTTCAACATGTTTGGCAGTGCAAAGGGGGACGATCCATGGCTGCGTTCCATGCTGGGTTTCCAGAGGCCAGAATCCCCACGTCAAGGCTCTACAAACTCGCTGGAAGGCATGGCCCTGCCGCGGCCATCAACTGAGAGCCAGACACGTTTTGGTTGGAACGTGGATGCCTTTGGCGCTCGAGCCAGCCCTCTCGGAGTCGACTGGAGCGTCAACAACACGAATACTACTTCGTGGTCAAGATTAGGATCACGCCGTCCCTCTATGCAGCATGGATCCAGCGCCAATCTGATTAACGATGACATGATGCATGATGATGTCTTGGACTTTCCTTCAAACACACGGTCACCTACTCAAGCGCCCATCGGTACCCGACCGCAGTCTTCTGCTTCGCACATGCAAGCGCAACTTTCCACTTCCTCCCTTGGTCCAATTCCACCTACGCCCCCCAAGCAGTTGAACCCTGCAGCAGCAAGCTTTACCATGTTTCAACTGGGTAAGAAGAACGAAGAAGACAAGGCCAAGAAGGCTGCGGAGAAAGAGGCCAGGAAGGCGGAGAAGGCTGAAAAGAAGGAGGAAAAGGAGAAGAAGGCCAAGGCAGACAAGGCTGAGAAGGCTTCGCGAAAAGATAAGACCACCTCGTCCGAGGCTGGAGATTCCAGGGATGCGACTTCACCTTACGGCTCTCGCATGTCACGTGACACACCATCGATTTCCACAGCCGACGTGTCTGAAGCTTCCCCACGCGAATCGCTTGAACGCAGTATCTCTCACTCAATGTCGGATCATGCAGGCTCCATTGGCAAAGAGTCTTTCATGCAGAAGCTGACACGCAAAGGTAGCACCAATCAATTCCTGACGTTTGGTAAGAAGAATGCTCTATTCTCCAAGACCAAAGCGGGTGATGTGCCTGGTACTCCTGACGAGGGAGAAGAGGAGAGCTCCAGTAGCTTCTTTGGCCTGGGTAAAAGTACAGACAGCACAGGCAACAGTCCGAGCATTGGAACGCCAAAGGACAAGGCCAGCGTCTGGGGCTCTATCAAGCGCATTGGGAAGAAGGACAAGACCCCAAGTCTGCATGAGAGTATCGCTAGTGAGGCGACTGGCGACGAAGAGGATGCTCTCACTGACCACTTGAGAGCATGAGTTGGCACAAACGTAAATAAAAACCTGTGAATATTATTGCATAGCGTGTAGCATATTACTAGATCTTTCCACTTTTACTTTGACTTGACTTTGCTGTGACGTTGTTTCCCCAGATTCTATACCTGGCCGCATGCCAAGCCCGGTCGACTCGCGACCTCCACGACTTCACCAATACGCTCCATCACTACCTATCAAGTCGAACCAACAATCCAACACACATCCCCCGCCCGCCAGACAAAATGGCGTCGCCGACCGCAGAAAACATGCAAAATGGCATTTCCACCCCACCAGCGACAGCGAATGCACCTACACTCAGCCCGCCCACACAACCACAGCCCAACACACAGCTATCGCAACAAGCCAGCGGGGCGCCCACTAACCCCACGGCCAGCATGAGCGCTGCCTTTCCGCCTACCTCCCTCCAAGACAATGGCGTAAGCAAGCGACCCCGCGACGCGCGCCTCATTCATCTTATTCTCGCCAACATGGGTGTGCACGCCTACACGGAGCGCGTCCCCCTCCAACTTCTCGACTTTGCCTACCGCTACACCTCCTCGATCCTGTCAGACGCGCTATCGTACGAGCCGCCTCTCCCCACAACCTCGACGTCCAAGAAGCGGAGCGGCGCAAACGCCGAATCCGGTGAAGATGGCATTTCGCTCAATGCGCTGCGTACGGCCGTGGGCGCGCGGGCTGCAAGCACGTTCCAGGGTACGCTTGGCAAAGAGTTCATGAGTGAGGTAGCGCAGGAGCGGAATCGTATCGCGCTGCCCCGTGTGGAGAGGGAGTTTGGGATTAGGCTGCCCCCGGAGAGGTACTGCTTTACCGGGGTGGGATGGGGTGTCAAAGGTGCGTGGGAGGAAGAGGTGGATGACGATGACGATGTGGATATGGATGATGAGGTGGGGGTTAGTGGTGCGGGCTTTGGAGGGCCAGTTGGTGCGGTCAATGGGACTGCAGGTGGGGAGGGTGCGGATACCACCATGGGTGGGATGGAGGAGGAGGATGAAGACGATGACGATGAGTTTGAGGAGGCTATGGGTATCAACCAGGAGAACAATGGCTGAATGTGATGGCTCGGATGGGTACCTAGTCGACATGGGAGGGGAGATGGTAAAAGGCGTTTGAGGTTGCAGCATTTTAATGGCGTTTAGGGTTGGCTTTGGTCAAATGGTATACCAGAGCCGAATGGCTTGCTTGCCTTTTCCGCGCCTCGAAGAATGAAATAGTATTTACAATATAATACAACAATCTTCCTGCAACCTTCCCCCCACCTTTTCAACCACTGTTACATGCTTATCCCATACCTCCCAACCCACACCCCCCTAAGTCCCCCTATAAATACCCCCCCTCTGCACCCCCCTCTCATCAACCCTATTCTCCTCCCTCCCCCCCTTCCCAGCCCCCTCCTCAGCCCTCCTCCCAACCGTCCTCCCACTCTCATCCAAATTCCACCACTCCTTGTGCTTTTCCCGCGCATCCTCCAACTTCTTCTGATGCTCCTCCCGCGCCCGCCGCCGCTCCCCAGCTAGTGCAAACCACTCTTGTCGCGCCTTGTCCAGCTCGTCTTGGTTCTGGTATTGCAGCATGCAGGCGTTCATGGCGAGGCGGGGGGCGCGGCATGCGTAGATCATGGTGAATGTGCGGCCCAGGGCGCATTGGGCAAATGCTGCGTGGTGAGCGTGTTAGTGATGTGGTTTGTGGGAGGGAGGGGAAGGGGATACAAGGGGAGATGGGAATGGAGACATACTTTCAATCTCTTGAGCGCATTTCGCGCGCACGTTTTTGTAGTATAGATCCCGAACTTGTTGTTCTTGTGGCGCGGAGAGAGGTGTGGGGTTGCTGGGTAGCTTGTTTGTCCCGATTATCATGCGGTCTGTCATGTTTGGTTATGTGGGAGGAGATCTGTGTGTATGCGCCTGTCTGGCGTATCGGTGGGGCGTAAAAGCCAGCTGTATTCCTGTTCCCTAGTCGTAGTTCGATTGAGGTTTGCCGTATATGTGAGCAGGAATTGTTCGGAGAACGGGGTTATGGGCGAGGCGCAATGCGTGAGCGTGTTGGTGATGCTTGCGGACTTTCGGTGGTGCTACGCTACGCTATGGTGCTGGGTCGAGATTGATATCCTTGGGAGCAGGGGTGTTAGCGGAGATGTGGATTGGGAGCGGGCAAGATCGGGGGCTTGGAGGGACAGGCACCGACGTTTGGCTGGGCCGAGGCATGGAAACATCAGCTGGGGTAGAGTTCACATGCAGTGTCGCTTTTGAGCTTTCGGCCTACTACCTACACGGTTGTTTCACCACTACATGATCTAGATATTTGCTCATTTTCGCTTCCCACCTACCACCTACCCCATCACGATTCACGTTGCGAACACACAAACCCACCTACAATGAAGATCGCAGATCGAACTTTCCTCATCAGCGGCGGTGTCTCAGGCCTCGGTCTCGCTACAGCACGCGCACTCCACGAACAAGGCTCATACGTTTCACTGCTTGACCTCAACGCTGACAACGGTGCCAAGATCGTCTCCGAACTCGGTTCTCGCGCAAAGTTCTTCGAAACCGATGTCTCGGACACACAAGCCATCGCCGCAGCAGTACAAGGAACAGTAGCATGGGTAAAAGAGACGGGGAAAGAGATTGGAGGTGTAATAGCTGGAGCAGGTGTGGGAATGCCTGGGTTGATCATTGATAAGAAGAATGAGCCGCTCAGTATCGAAAGCATCGATTTTGTACTCAATATCAACTTGAGGGGCACGTTGGATTTGATCCGTCAATCGCTGCCATATATGACTACTGCTACGCCCTCCAGCCCCGATGGCTCCCGTGGTGTCATTATCATGATCGCTTCCTCTGCTGCATTTGACGGTCAGATGGGTCAAGTCGCATATGCAGCTTCCAAAGGCGCTGTTGCCTCTCTCACTCTTCCACTCGCCCGCGATCTGTCAAAGTATGGTATACGCGCCGTAACGATAGCGCCGAGCATGTTCGATAGCGCCATGACGCGAATGATGAGCGACAAGGTCAGGAAGAGTCTCGAACACAGTATGGAGTTCCCCAAGAGGGCGGGGTTGCCTGAGGAATTTGCGAGGTTGGTGGTGGAGTGTGTAGGCAATGAGATGCTGAACGGGACCGTGTTGCGGTTGGATGGCGCCATGAGAATGCCAGCAAGGCTTTAGTATCTATTCGTGTATAATATCCAGAACGCGGCTCAGCGCTTGCGCTCCCGAATCTTGAATTTTACGCCGTTCTTGTTGACACCTCCTACTGTGTTGTTCATCTTTGCGCGCTGCAGCTCCAGTTCCTCCTCGGCCGCAGCGAGCTCGCTCTCCCGCTTCTTGATCGCTCGCAACCTTGTCACTAGTCTTTCCTGTCCTCGTTCTCGGTCTTTGCGGAACTTTCTTGCTTCCCGTCTCGCCTGCTCTTGTGCCTCAATCTTCTTTTTGGATAATGTGCCGGACTGCTGGATGAGTTGTTCTTCCTCTTCCGAGAGGTCGTCTTGAAGGTCGCCAAATGTGGGTGAATCGTTGCGCGCAGGCATATCTTTGCCTTGTCCAAACCACGAGTCCGGATCAAACTCCTCTTGCTCCTCTTCATCCTCCACAAAAACCCTGTGCTTGCCCGGCTTCACCCTCTCCCCGTCTCTGACAGCCCGGACCTCGCCCTGCTCCTCCATGATGAGCTTTTGCTCCAACTCCTCCCTCTCCTTGCGTGCCATTTGCAACATTGTGCGAATATACCCCGCATCTTGTGTCTTCAGCAACTTGACCACCTCCACACTCAGCGCCCTATTGCCTCGATCCACAATCTTCCTTCCCTGCTTGTCCACCTGAGATGACATCATCTTGAACGAGAACTCATCAGGATTGCGGTCGCGAGCCTTCTCGCTCAGAATCTTGAGTTTTGCCTTCTTCTGTCGATGGTCGGCTGCGCGCAGCTTGTAGTCTTTGCGCTTCTCGAGTAGGCCCCATTTCTCGCGTTCAATGGGTTGCGCACGCTCTTTGTGATTACGCCGCTGGACGGCATTGCGCATGGACGACATGACGGGCGACTTTTGGTGGTTTCCGAATCGTGTCGAAGATTGCCTTCGAATTGCTGTCTGGAAATTATTCTAGACGCCAAGCCTGCCTCGGCCCTAAATTGTTAGCGCGGGTCTGTGCGCCTTGACAGTGTCCGCTCAGTCGGATGAGACACCTCTCAACTGTAAACATATCACATACACGGAAAGATGGACATACCGTTACGATGCTACTAGTCTACTATCTCACTTCAAAGATAGATTTGAGCAAGGATATCCAACTAAACAACCGTATCGTGCATGAGCAGCCAACCGTCACGAGGTGCTACTGCGTCTATCCCAGCCCAACTTAATCTCAAATTTAAACATACAATCATCCCATGATGCACGAGAGCCTTTGTGTGTGCAAAGCGAATTAAACTGTTGATCAGATGTAACGCCTCATATCGCGATACCAGTCGGCCACAGACTGCCGCTTTCTGACTGACAGCCGAAGACGGTTCAGCGAAGAGATACCTCGTGTGTGCACCAGTAAGATGGCGCCCCAAGTAACCACACTAGAAACGATGTGTTATAGTTCAAAAGCCTTGCCAAGCAAATGTAGGTGACGCCCAGAACTCCTTGCACAAGTCTAGGAAAATTCATTACCGATGGGTGTTGGGACCTAAGATCTCCACCAAAATGTACAATCTGGGTAACGCGTAGCCCCATCACCTGCCTAGAGTTGTAAAAAAGAAAGGAAGTAATTACACTAGGCTGCTAGTATGCGGAGGGATCGTTGCCCTCCTGTTTCCGCCAATTGTTTGGAGACTGACCTATCCCATTGCTACTCAATGTGCATTCAGACGGCGACGACTCAGAAGTTGACATGGCTGTCCTAGTCACCATTCATTCTCCAAGCGTCAACGCACGTATCATTCTAGGACAAGCAACAACGGAAAATATTTCTCCACAATTACCATGGCGTCTTGGCCTCAATTCAGAGTCTACTCCGCAGACCTTCTCCACCCTGTGGGCCTCAGCAATTTCAGGGCTGCCTCGGTGGGCTTATCGTGTATTCTAGTTCGTCCACTATGCATCCGTCTAGGAAAGGGGATGTGTTATGTATCTATAAGAAGAGAGGAGTGTTACTTATCATCTTTCGTCCCAGTCTATACTTCGTTGATTCCACACATATATCTGAAAGGCTAACAACTCCCTCAATTCAACACATCTCCAGCTCTTCACCATGGTCTCCAAAGCCGCACTTCTTTCGCTCGTCGCCAGCATGGCGGCTGCGCAAACGCTGAACATTCCCACTCGTTCTGGCTCTAAGATTGCGCTTCCATCGCCTAGTGTCATCACTGGCAAGGTTGACTTTGGCAACAAGGAGTTCGACCGTGGCCACCCGTGCGACTCAGATGAAGACACAGGCAGCAGTAATGCTGTGTTCATCCTCAACGATGGTGCAGCCATCTCAAACGTCATCATTGGCAGCGACTCGCTCGAGGGCGTCCACTGCTTAGGTACATATGCTCCCCTAGGTTCTTTTGGACAGTGACACTAACATCACAGGCTCTTGCACTTTGACCAATGTCTGGTTCCGCGATGTCTGCGAAGATGCCATCTCTATTCTCGGCACTGGTGACGCCCTCATCGTCGGTGGTGGAGCACAAAACGCAGTAGACAAGGTCGTCCAACACAAGTAAGCAGCCCTTGTCCAACCTTACATTCAGCTTTAACTGACCCCAAACCAGCGGCCCCGGAACAGTCACAATCCGCGACTACACCGTCATCGACGCGGGTAAACTTTACCGCTCCTGCGGCGACTGCACCAACAACTCGAAAAAGTCACCCCGCCACGTCATTGTCGAGAACGTCACGGCATACGGCCTGACCTCCGACCTTGTCGGTATCAACCCTAACTTCGGCGATACGGCAAAGGTCAGTGGCTCTTGCGGAGTCACACACGCCGTTTGCAGAGAATACAAGGGCGTTGACAAGGGCAACGGTAAGAGCGAGAAGCTGGATACCAATGTCAACTGCAATGGTACCCAGGGAAAGCTTGCTAAGCTTCCTGTTTGCGCAAAGAGTGTTTTTGGTATTGTTGAGGCGGAACCTTGCAGTACGTTTGTTACTAAGAGGGTTGCTACGCCTACTGCGTTCAACTGAGCTTTGGTCCTGTTGGGTCGTGGATATAGGTGTGTAAGCTTGCTATCAGTCATTCTGGAGACCTTTCATGGGATACGGAATTCTTCTTTTGTAAATATTTAATTGAGAGTTGTACATACTTGTCAAACAGTTAATCTGTGTCCGCATTGGGCACGTGACCTGTGAATGGCATCACATGATTTGCCGTTTTATCATGGACTGTCTACTTTTGAGGCACAGCCCGATGAAAAGCGCGGAAGGTTGTAAGCATTAAGCTGCAGTTGCGTCATTGACATACTTCAACATGTTGGTTCGGCCCTTGCGGTCGCCACTTGTCGTTAGCGTAGGCGAGTAGCTTCTTTGACTCCAGGAATCTCGAGCTTCACTGAAGCTCTTCTACAACTACCCCATGAGGGGTCAGCATCGATCTTCCACCAATTTCTTCCGATAAAGGATGATCATCAGGAGTTCGTGCCAGTTGCTCTGTCAAGTGGCAGTCGCATTCAGCCTTGCCGTTCCGTGTCTCCGTGTCTCCGCACCGCTAGCAGAGGGGCCGATGTCTTGGTTTTTCCGACATTTGAGTCGCCAATACCCATACGCAGCACTAGTCCTGTCCAAAAACCTGGGGAAGCTTTAGACATTCTTCCGTGAACAGATGCGGAGCCCCGCAAGATGTAAGTCAAGGCTTAGGTTCCTGGGGGCTCGGGTCATTGAACCCCGGATATTCTTGGCTGGTCATCATCCATGCATTTGCAACCGGCTATATGAGGTCGTATAGCCATGAACTAAAGCTCTTAACCACAATTGCCCTCCCATCGGTCTGCCATGGGTTTTGGTAAGTTTTCCTGCCAGCTGCTGCTGGCCGCTGCAATTTCCCACGCCAGATGGATTGTTCCAGGAGCGCGATGGAGAGCAACGGATGGTACACTCGTAAATGCTCACGCAGGTGGTATCACTGTGGACCAAGCGACGGGCAAATACTTTTGGTTCGGCGAATACAAGGTTGAGGGTCAAGTAGAAGGCGGCGGCGTCAGCGTCTACAGCTCTGATGATCTTGCGACATGGGAGCCACACGGATTGGCATTGAAACCCATCGAGGGCCATCCCCATATTGCTCCAACAGATATTATTCAGAGACCCAAGGTCGTATACAGCGAAGGCACCGGCCGATACCATGTAAGATATTGGATGCAGTCATTTCAAGGCTCTGCTGACCATACATAGATGTGGTGGCATGCAGATAACTCAACCTACGGAGAACTTCTCCAAGGTCTGGCGGTCTCAGATAATATTACCGGACCATACAGCTTTGTCGATGCTACAGCCCCACTTGGGAACTGGTCACAAGACTTCGGTCTATTCATGGACCAGAAAGATGGTCGAGCATACTCATTGTATTCGAATGGCGACAGGAAGGAGGGGCGGGATGTCTACATTACATCCTTCAATGAGAACATCACAGCCCTTGATGAGGTCATCTTTCGATTCAACAAGTTTGACCTTGAAGCGCCCACAATTGTGCAGACGGATAAGAGTTACTTTGCTTTGATGTCGCATAAAACAGGCTATCGTCCAAACAGTAAGCATCAAATATGTAAAACTCAAAAGAACCGGAAACTTACAATGCCTAGACGTGGTCGCATTCCGCGCAGATTCGCTCTCGGGTCCATGGTCACAGCCTTTCGTCATCGCACCACTCAACACTCGAACTTACAACTCCCAATCTGGCCTGAATCTGCGTATCAATGGCACACAAAAGACAACCTATTTATACATGGGCGACCAATGGGATTCCATATCACTCTGGGAGTCGAGATACATATGGCTACCTCTTGAGATTGACGAAGAGAAGAAGTCGGTCGAGCTCAAGTGGTACGATGTTTACGATCTCGATTTGAAGACCGGAGAAGTTACGCCAATCGACGGTACCACCTATTACAACAAGGACGCCACAACGATAGGTGACGCATACCATCAAGAAGCCACCTTTGCGAGCGATGGTGTGATTGTCACTGGCATCCATGGCAACGACAGCAAAGTCACATTTTCGAACATTGAAGGGTCGGGCAAGCCCCAGTGGGTATCATTCTACTACCAGAATACCGATGACATGGGCTTCGGTGACCAGCCGGGAGGGTCGCCAGATCGGATCAAGGGGACGTGGCAGTTGCGCCGCATCTCGAGCGTTATTGTGAATAATAAAACGGAGGAAGTCGAGTCTCTGTATCAGAGAGATACTCACAAGGGTATCATCTTGAGCACACCGTTGCTGCTCAATCTAGAAAAGGGGAGCCACAATACCATTACAATTGGCGGTCTCAGTAATGGGCAGGATGTGAAGGGTGCGGACATTGATCGCATCGTGGTCTATCCTCCCGAAGAGTAGTTGAGCATGCTATACAATCATTCATTCTTAATTAGTGAATGCATGCGCACTGATCTTCTTACAAACGAATAAATAGGTCACACGACCCTGTGATGGTAGCAGAGCTGCGATCACTTTAGCGCCTTGGCATATACTTCTTCTCTCTATATCAACGTTCTACTCATGCCCACACTGTCTAAGGCCAACGACTACTTAGCAACTTAATCAACACCACTTCTCTAGGACACTTTCCTCTATCTATCAATCCTTCGGTCACGGATAGCCCGTCTGACTGCCTTATCGATACAACTTCACGCGAACCAACCTACCTCAATGACAACCGACACAAAATCTCAAAATGGGTATCCTCTCTCTTCTGTCCGAGATCATCGGCAACATCTGTCGATATGTTGGCGCAGTTGTCAAAGAAGATCAGAACACATTTGTCAGGTACAAAAATCAGGATCTACAATCACTACGCCTGACGTGCTGGTATCTGTATGTAAACACCACCTACGATGCTGCAATCAGATATGGTATGATGTTGGATATGTTGAAACTTGAAGCCAACCATTCAAACCTCTACTTGCTTCTCCACTTAACTAGCATCCCGGATTTTTGCGACCGTATTGGCATGATATAGCTCAGTCTACCTCAAGTCAAACCGTCTTATATCGGCCCCCGACCCGAGTTTGAGGCTGAAGTTATGGGAGGAGACATGAATGAAGACGCAAATTTTAGTGAGACATTCTATCTCCTAGTAGAGTAGTAGAGTGCTTCCACAACCTGAACCCTTCTCCCTCGTTCCCAGACGTGAACACAGGTGATAAGGTGCTCGACAAACTTATACTTGGAGCCTTCTCATAAACAAAATTCCCACGGCGAATCGTGGTCTTTGTAAGGAAGACAATAATTTTGGCTAAGGAACACGAAACCTTGGAGTACGACATTACTGAGCATCCAGGGTACAAGGACTACCTAAGGTCGATCGCAATCGGTGTCCCGAAATTGGGAGACGGACATGATGACACTGAAACAAAGCGATTGTTGAGGCAAGAGAAGCGGTCGAAAAATCTTTGATATCACTTCAAAGATTACAGTTGGCGTTACTAGGGGACTTCCGAATTCATGAGGGAGTGCAATGAATTAATTGCAATAAATGTAACCGGGTGTGAAAACGCCCCTCGTATACGATTCTGCAACGGTTTCAACGATGTGTTCAACAACACCATCAGCATAACGCATTACCCCAGCCTTGCCGAACTCGAAATTTCGGAAATGTACATAAGTGGAGGGCGACCTAGGCGCTTCATCAAAGAGCATGGGGCCACGCTCAAAAAAGTTGAATGTCTTGAGGTCTCACTGACAGACGGATCGTGGCGTTGCATTGCCCAGGGCTTACAGAAACTTCCACTCCTAGACACCGTATACCTGAACTATATCTATCAAAAGCAGAAGGCGAACATGAACATTGCAACTTGGGTTCCTCAACCGCCCCATGGATATACATGTCTGAGGGTAGTGGGTACCCTTGATGTTCAGATCTTTTTGCGGAAATTCCTGAACAACTTCTGTACTGAGGAATTTCGCAATTGGATCGGGCAAAATATGTGTGTTCGCTATCAGGACGTGGTTCTATATCGCTTTACTGGCGTGAACTACGCTACTATTTGAAAGACAGCTTGGAGGAGTATTGATACTCGGGGATGGAGGACAAGAAGGCTGAATGTGCCACTCCGTGATTTCAGGGGTAGCGCCAGAAATCGGGGTGTTGCTAACATATTTATCTTGGGCTGATTGACGTGGTGGGAGGACCAAGGGTAACGTGGTTGGCAAGCGAGTCGGTCAGACAAGCGAGTCGGTCACCCCACCAACTTTTGCAACTTTAAAGCGATATATCTCAACAACACGATAATATTATTGCTAGATATTGATATAGTAGACTACTCTATATTAATAGTATTAGTGTTGCATGTGCGCGAGTTGTGCCCGGTCTCTTTGCATCTAGTGCAGCGCCTTTGAGCGCGCTGGCTGAGGCCTGATCGCGCTCCTCCTCGACGCTCTTCATGAGCAATCTGCTGGTCAGCCTCATTTTGAGCTAGTATATCCTCTCCAGTTCTTTTTATAAGTACTCCGTGCTTCTGTATACGCCTTTTAGAGCGCCGCTTACGCGCTGAGGCTGCGCTGTTAGCCTTCTCAAGACTAGAGATCTAATCGCGCATTAGCTCAGCAGAGAGCATTATCACCTCAGCGCCCTTCTTCAGCTAGTCAATTGCCTCAATAATTAATACTAGTGATGAGCTCTTGTGCTGGCGCACGCGCTCACGTATTAGGCTTAACTAAGCTTCAAGCTTACGCGCGTTGCTCGGCGTTTGAGCTACCCAAGGAGCCTCTGGCAGAGCTGCTGCTAGAGGAGTAGGTGTACGCAGCTGTACATCTAGCTTTGATAGAACAGCCTCTAGTTGTAGAGGAACAAGGCCTGCGCCGCGGAAGGCTGAGCAGATGTTAGCTAGCGTGAACGCTTAATTAAATGCTATCTTGAATGCTAGCAGAAACTCTAGCTTGGTGATGTAGTTGATGTGGTTGCGCATAAGGCTCTCCACCTCACGGCTGTACGCGCGCTTCAATGGCGAGAAGCAGCCAACATCAAGTGGCTAGAGTAGGTGAGATAAGTGAGGAGGCATACAGAGCGTATAGATATTGTTCTCCTTGCAGAGCTCCTAGAACGCTAGAGATTAGTGGCTCTTATAGCCATTAATAATAAGCAGGCGACGCGCGCCTATAGTACGAGCCTGCGTGTGAGCGTTGAAGTGCTTTAGCCACTCAACTCTAAGCTTATTATTTGTCCAGCTATTGTCGCTAACTGCGATTGCCTAGTCGCGTAGGATCTCAGCTTCCTCGTACCAGGCTAATAGGTGGTACTAGCCAGCGAAGATAAGGAACGGTGGGACTGACTAGCCAGCAGCGCTAATAGCAGCGATCAGCGTTACCTACTCGCGATTGCCTAGCTGAAGAGTCTTCGGCCTGCCTCTCCTCTCTACTCCTGTTATAACCAGCTGCGTTGTAATCTTGCCCATTATAAAGCTAGCTTCATCAAAGTTGTATATATCCTTATCGCAGATACTAAGCTCAGCCTTTGTCTTCTCTATAAGCTCAAACCAGCTTCTAATAAGGGCTAGATTCTCACAGAGAGCTCTCTGCCTATCGTACGCTCGGTTGAAACACGTCCGAAGACTATTGTTACGAACCTGTGGGAAGGGGCACGGCGGTTAAGTTAAGGAGCGTCGGCGGGATAGCTGACCCCTCCATATGTGACACGGGAACTTAATCACGTGACCTCCTCGGCTTGGCATGCACGAGGAAAAGTCTTGGCACACCCCTCGTACATACGCCACCGAGGAGTGCTCCTCGCGCGTCAGCCACCGAGGAATCCTCGGACTCCTCTGAGCGAGGACAGCGAGCACCATAGGTATATAGCATTAGGCAATGAGCTCCTATAGCTCATTGTGTTCAACTTCGAAATCTAAGGATTAGTACTTGATTCTCAACTCCCCGTATATTACATCGATCTACCAATCGTGCTATACACCCTCGTGTCCATCGCATCACTCTATCCCCGAGAACCAACCCAAGATCATCTTCGGACGACCTTCACAACTATCTGTCCGCTTGACAAAGTTGGCTGGCCACTTCTGCCTAACCTGGCCAGCAGCCGCGCGCAGCTAGCAGCTTATCAGCCATATCGCGTGCAGCTACGTAGGTAGGCGCAAACCCGCGCTGATCTAGATGAAGTATATAGCTAACAATCACCTCCTCTTCTCTCTAGGTAAGCTTCCTTAAGTTAGGCTGGCAATCGCGTCGCGCGCGCTTTCCAGCGCGCCGGTCAATTAGGGTTAATTTTAGGATATCGAAGACTGTAGCAGCGCGTCGCGTACTCTGAATTTAGGCAGAATCTATAGATAAGAGAGCAAGCTGAATATCTGCTTCATTTGAAGGCACAAGAGGAGCGCGGCGTGGAGGCATTATGTGTTGAGATAGAGTAGGTGATTAAAGTTGGTGGGGTGACCGACTCGCTTGCCAACCACGTTATATATGCTTATTTTCAATATGAAGAGGAATAGATTCTTCTCTATATGCCTTCCGTCACAATATATAAATGTTCTGGGTATAAGACATATTATGTGCCTCAGGTATATAGAGCTTCTGTGTGTAGGCTGTGGGTCGACAAAGTCTACCATGCAGAAGCTGACTACTAAGATTTTGTGGTGATTCGCACATTTACATATGCTGTAGTGCGACACAATGAGTCAAAGAATCCTCCTATGTGGTAGCCTTCTTATCAATTTATCTTATCGAAGCATGAATTTATGCCTTACTTCAATAGCTGTTTATTTACAACCTATGCTGCTTGTTGGCAGAATTCATGACGAACCTGGGTAGATATGAATGAGTATATCCACGCATGTGCAATATGTACTTTAATTATTAAACCAAGACTGCTCGTTGATATTTTAATCGTTGGAGGCGCATAGCGGTGCTGATGTGCCCAAAATGCGGTGACATTAAAGAAAGAGGACGTGAATATGTCGCTGGACGATGCAACCACCTCTCGCCAGGACGTGAATTAAAATGAAGAAAAAATATAACTTTGACGCTACGTGATCGGAGTGAGTGTTTGTCGTTATTGAAGCGTGTCGTCACTGTTCGTGATAACAGGTGTGGGTCAAGAAAAACGTATGATGCAACGCTTGATCTGTCACAATTCACTCAAACAAGCTCATCAGTATCACTATTTGATCAAGGATAACCATGTGTCCCAGCATTTGAATGAGATAGTCACGCAAGGGGCATCTGATAGCGGCGTTTGTGCTGTCGCACGGTCCTGGCGACAACTACTTTTGCAGCAATATAAATACTCCTTCCCCATTCCCAAAGATGCAAAGTCATTAAACCCGAACTTCCTTCTCATACTTTGTATTGAATCCCTATCTATCGCTCCTTCTTACTGCCGCTTACAAGACTGGTCTTGAGGTCGCAGTCGACAACCTGTAGTTTGCGACTTCAACGTTGTCCATGATGGAGATCCCCAAGGTTTACTCTGCGCCCGCAGATCCGACAGCGCCGTCGCTCCTCAAGCTGCCCGCAGACGTACGAAACACAATCAGCAGATTCGTTTTTGTTCAACCTGAACCTATCTTGATCCATAATGCCGACTTTTACTACAACCAGAAGCCAGTCGTGCTAGACGCGCGGGGTAATGATTACATCAGGAATGAAAAAGAAAGTATTTACACGTCTATCCGTAAAATTGGTCGCTATGTTCGCGCTCGGAACATTCGAAAATTGCAAAAGTTACGTAATGCAGCTCACCTACAGGGTGAAGACAGACTAGGAAGACTAGCGAACATTGAACTCGGCCTATCAACACATGCTATCCGGCAACTATATCTAGCATGTGTAACCAGCGTGTCAGACTACGGAGCGCAAATCTACTGGCAAAACTAATTATACGCCACATTATTACTACAATCACTACATAACCTAGCATGCCGGAAGATTCTAGGAGTGTTTAGAACCGCACCAGCCGTTCCAACAAGCATAGAAGCTAGCCTACTGCCACTAGCAATTAGACTCAACACAACTATCCGGAACTACGCAAGAAGAGCAAACCTGCTCGCTAGTACCCACCTAATTGCTAATGCAATAACCCGGATACAATCAACAAACCCCCTGTGAAGGTCGTCCGAAGATGATCTTGGGTTGGTTCTCGGGGATAGAGTGATGCGATGGACACGAGGGTGTATAGCACGATTGGTAGATCGATGTAATATACGGGGAGTTGAGATGGGGCGGTTGGAAACTTGGGGCTGAAGGACTTGGTGGAGGGGCAATCTCACGATGATTTTTAGGTGTAGTGCGTAAGTTCGAAACCTAGTTATAACCTAAAATACACTCTTTTTTGCTATATTTCTAGCAAATAAGCTACTAAATTTCCGGCTAACGGCCTGGCAACAATATTCTCCTTCTGCGACACTTCACTTACTACTTATCACCCACCACACTCACCTATACTCCATCAACGCGTCTCTATTTGCAGCTATTATCTACCTCGCCGTTGCTATAATGCCAGCAAAAAGAACACGCGTTAATGCTCTAGAAATCGCGACAACTTCGAAGCGCCCTAGAGTCGCAGCGCGTCATCGCGGGACTGCCAGCCAACCTGTGCTA